TTGTGTGCGTGTGGATACCGGTAGAGGCACGACGATTGGAGTGCTGAAAATCTCGACTTGGTGTATTCATTTTTCCGCTGCGAATAACCAGGTATTTTCGAAACCCTAAAGATCTAGATTTATTTCAGTATTAACATGAGATTCTAGGCAAATAGAATTCATAAGTTGATTTATAAATCGTTATAAACCGGTATGAATTTCTACAACAGAGATGTCAGAAAGTGATGAAGTTGCTCAACCTATGGTGGTCTCAAAGAGAGAAGTGGACGACCAAATGAAATCTATGATGAAGGATTTTGAGGTTAAAAAGTTACTCTGCTGCATCCTTTTTTTTTCTTGCAAACTATGCTCAAAGTGTTGCTCAGCTATGTGTTTGTTGTACAGGGAGATGCTGATAAGAACAGTTGGGTTAATTTCCAACAACGTGTAGACAAAGCACCTGAACAAGTTGTAAGGTGTGTTTCAAACTGATATTTTATCCTATGATTCTCTCATACAAGATCAATGCGTAAAGTGCATTTTCATTTTTTTGATACAGATATTGCAGAAGCTCTGAAGCAAAGCCCCTTTGGCCAATAGCAAGTGGACGAGTCTCTAAATCTGAGATCCCCAATTGCAAATCTTGTGGTGGTCCTCGTTGTTTTGAGTTTCAGGTAATTCTGGTCATAAAACTTGTATTAGTCTGGTCTTAATCACTTCTGCTGCTCATGTTTATAAACCAGATTTCTTGATCATTTCTCTGTTCTTGATCATTTTATTGGTGTTTTATTCAGGTAATGCCGCAGCTACTGTTCTTCTTCGGAGGGAGCAACGAGAGGGAATCACTTGATTGGGCAACAATCGTTGTGTACACGTGTGAGAACTCGTGCGAATCGAGTTTGAGTTAGGGCATGATTATCCATTGTCCTTAGTTGTTGGTCCTTAGATTAATTTATTGTTATTTTTAGTTTAGGATAATTGTAAGGACTTTTTGTTAAAATGTGGATTATTGGTGGGACTAATTGTTGGTTCTTAGGTAAAAGTTTTTTTTTAAAATAACTAGTCAACATATATAACTAAGATAAAACATTTTATAATAACTAGTAACATGTATAATAAGATAATAACTATGAACGATTAATAATTGAGAAAATGAATAAAATAGACCTAAAAAGTTTTTATCACAAATATAGACTTTAACAATTAAAATGACCAAAATAGCACTTAAATATTTTTTAAATATATATTTATATCCCTTGGGTTAACTAATCCTAGATTTTTTTGTTTAGAGTTGAGGAGTGGGGTTTTTGAGATAGGGTTTAAAATTTTAAAAAATTAAAAAAATGTAGAATTTTCAAAATAAAAAATGCTATTTTGGTCATTTTAATTTTTGAGGTCTATTTTTGTGATAAAAACTTAAAAGAAAGTTATTTGAGAGAATTGCCCTTACTAATTAGTAACATGATTATCCGAAATTTTTATTAATTTAATAAAAAATTACAAACATTTTATTATATTTCATAAAAACATACAAAATTCAGAAATAAAACCAAACACACACATATTTGTTAAGCCTTGGTTCAAAAAAAAAAAACACACACACATATTTGTTTCATCAAGGAAAAACATCTACAAGGAAAAGTAAATGCATGCAAAAGACACAATAAATGCATCCAAATTAAATCACACACATATTACCAACACGCCACGTATCACCTAGGGACGTCGAAGAAAACTTCTTAATTAAGAAGTGTCCCACATATAGTTACCTATTTTGCATTTAAATTAAATCCGATTAATGCTAAGATACGTGGCGTGGGACGCCGATATTCATGGCCTTACAATGAAGAGTTTGTATGGGTTCAAGTCTACAGTCAAACAACTTAGGCATTATCTCTTCTTTCTTTTTTTTTGTGTTTCCGCAAAAGTGTTGTCTTAGCCGGATCAGACCGGACTTTAAACTTTGTAAAATTTTCATGCATTTATATACACTTGTTCGTTTGTTTTGGTTGTTCTAAAAAGAATTTGATATTAAAATGTCCATTAAGTTCAAATTAGGCGATTTGATAACATAAAAAGATTCAAATTATGATGCGGGTAGACAACAAAATAATGATATCTAATAACCAAAAATTTCTAGCTATAATTTTCTTAATCATTTAGACATTATTAATGAACAAAACTAAACGAACAAGTGCAATAAATGTCGTTTTCAATTTTCAATGTAAAATTTATTAATTTTATTATGTAATTTATTTTTCTGTTGGATAAAATATAATTACTTGTATAGGTAATTGTGTTTTTATATAAAAAATATGTAAAATTAGTTGTTTCCTTAATTCGTATGCACAAAACTAAAGTGACACTTATAGTGAAACAGATGGGGTAAGATTTAGTGTTTTTTCAAACGTATACACACTGAAAAGGGAGAATAATATCCTTTTTAATTAAATAGGTAGAATTACTATACTGAATTCTAGGTGAGATATTATGGTGTGGAATATTTTATTATCAGCCAATTTCAGATGTTCTAGATATATATTATATTGGATTTTCGCTATGTACTTCTTGGCCAGATTGTTGAAGAAAATACGGACCCAAGGTGTTTGTTCTCATCTATTATTCCCTCTGTTTCATTTTGTTTATCATTTAGGTTTTTGCCCACAAAACTTCAATATTGGAATTGTTTAACTAGTGTGAGATATGAATTTTTGATATAATTATTTGGCTTTTTAGGCATTTTTAACCAAACTTTCATGTAATAGACAAGGAAAAGAGAAATTTTAGGTTAAAATGTACTCCTGAAAATAAAATCCCAATCAAATAACAAAAAATCTAAATAGAGAAAAAAACAGAGAAAAACATGATAGAGCTTCTAGTAATATGATCAAGGGTAACACAAACTAAGAACTAGGTTTTTAAAAGAGTGATTTAGTGTAATATCCATAAATAGAGTTCATATTATAAAAGTGTCTATGATTTGACATAAAACAAAATTGTGTCCAATTAAAACTTGGGTTGGACACTGATACCCTTTTGACACTCTCTTTCTTCTGAGTCTTTTTTTACACTCTTTTTATTTCTTTCATTGTTTTTTATTATACTTTATATTCTTCCACATTTTTTTCATCCAAATAATTTTTATTCATTAAAAACTCATTAACACACGAAACAAAATAATTTTTATTCCTTAAAAATTAGACACATGAAATAAAGTATTGATTTGTTTAATTACACCATAGACTAGGAAAATCAACATTGGAATATCTTTTAAATCACTGATTGTGAACAAATGTGTTATCTGTAACAAATAATGTAGATATTAATAGATGTGTTAGCTATTAACAAATACATGTATCAGAAGTGTTAGCTATTAATAAATATTGTAGATCTTAATCGAGGTGTTAATTATTAACAAATACATGTAAATGATGTGTTAACAGAGTTGTTAACTACTAACAAATATTGTAAATGTTAAAAGAAGTGTTAGGTATAAGCTGTTAACAAATAAATGATGTAGAATTTTTAATTTTCTATCACAATGAATAGATATAAAAATCAAAGTTATTCTTTAAAACCAAATAGGAAATAAATATATATATTTGAATGAGTAAAAAATTAAGAACCGATAAAATTGAAGATCCAAAACTACATATGAAACAAAAAAAAATAAAAATTAAAAATGAAATATAGAATGATAAAGATTTGTATAATAATTAGAGATTAAAGCTACAAATATCACTAGAATGATATAACTACAAAAATAGGAAGAGAAAGAACGAGGAGCAATTTGGTCAATAAATTTGAAATAGTCAAATCAGATGTAAACCTTAAATTAGAGATCCAAATATGATGTCTCAGCCAATTATCTCTTTTTAATATAGTAAAAGTAAAATCAATTAGGTAAATGTATGATAAAATATATATTTTTTAATTTTCAATCATTTAGATTATATAATAAGAATTTATGTTGTTAAATCTCATCTCCTCTTTACTCTAACTATGCAATCTTTTGAATTGGTTTTTTCTTATTTCAAAAAAGCATAAGTTAATAAAACTAGAGTTTCTTGCAATTAAAATCTGACCGATATACCATAATTATATTTTGGGTAGTGATAGTAATCTGTCATTTGATGTGATATTGTTTATTAAGCAATATTATAGTTTAAAATTTTATCAATAAAACAGAAAATGTGCCAAACCAAACCAAATATTATAATTTGTGTAGTATTTAATAACCAAATAAGCCAACAGCAACACGCATCTAAAACACCAAAAGTCAATAACATTTATCATCGGGCTTTACTGATTATGTGGAGCCTTCACCCTGTTAAAAACCACAAAACGTTTTAAAAATATTATAAACAGTTATGTAAAAATTTACATAGTATACTGGACATACATAGTATATGTAGACAGAAAAAGTTAATCATATTAGTATAGTCACCTTGGTATGACGAATATTTCTTGGAATAGCAGGAGGACCGCAGTTAAAAAAGACGCAATTAGGGACACAGTTCTTATCCCCAGGCTTGGACGAACACAAGTCACTGCAATGTTTCACACAGGCAGCATATGAGGCAGACGTAGCCTTCGTCTCTCTTATTGTTCCGACCAACAGCATCATCATCAACGTTACCATTATTATCTTCATAACTCCCATCTTTTCTAATTCAATGTATTTTCTTTTTCTAATTTGTGATGAAGATGAACTTATGAATATACTGAATAGCTTTTCTATTTATAATCGTAATACGTAACTGTAATTGTAATTGATTCAAAGTCGTCGAAACAATATATAGTAAGTTGACCAAAATTTATTTTTTTCATTAATATTACTTTTGACCAATCTTTAATAATACAAATATTTTGACCAGTTTATTTTTCTCACTAAATTTATGGAGGGTTATTGGGAGATAAATTCTCATTAACTTTGATTTAAAAAATTTCAAAATCTATTCAAATACTTTATTGTTCAAAAAGTATAGTCATTATTGATTTTTTTAATTTTAAATAAATCCAGTGTTATCGAGAGATGAATTATTTACCTTTTAACACATATAAAACACAACTTTCAAAATATCATATGTATCCATGAAATGAGATTTTCAAAATCTATGTGATTAAAACATCTAGAAAACAAAATAATTCTTTTCTCAAATATATATTTCATCTTTAATCAAAATTATATGTCTCACATTATAATTCATTACATTTGTATTTATTTACCCTTTAATGTATAATTATATTTTTATTTTGTTTAAAAAAAATTAAAACTAGAATAATATATAAAAGTAACCAAAAGAGGTTTCATTAAAGACCAAAAGAATTTTCTACTCTTTTCTTTATAAATATAAATAATAAATATATAACTATAAAAATAAACAGATAAAAAATAAATATTTTTTATTTTTTATATGTTTTCAGACTCAAACTTTTTTATAATTTTTGTTTTGAAATTTTTTATTTCAAATTTGTTTTTTATTTTCTTTTGAAATTTAAAATTATTCTTGAAACTATTTTAAAATTTTTCATATTTATTTTCTATTTTTGAATATTTTAAGCATCACCGCTAAAATCCTACCCCTTAACTATAAACAAAAAAAGTTTAGTATTAGTTAACCGTAAGGGTATAAGAGTATATTTACCCTTCTGAAAAATCTCTTTAGGTCATTTTCTACATTAAAATTTTTTTGGTGATAAAACTTAAAAAAATGGCTTTACTAGAGAATTTCACAAATATAAATCATATATTTATTTTACGAAAATAAAGATAAAATAAAAGAAATACAAGTTCATGAAAATCTGTTACAATATAGAAAAGTATAATAAAATTTTACAAGTTAACATATATATATATATATATATATATATATATATATATATATGTTCATAATTCACATCTTTATAAATAAAGTTGAGTTTAGTACCTTCTTAAGCTGTCCACATCATCAAAAGAAGGTGGGGCAAAAAATTCCACGTGGCAACAACAAACTTTCAACGAAATCAGCTTCTTTCGTACTCATTTTGTTCTTTTATTTGGGCTTTAGTGTTTAGTCGTAATTCCCTCAGTCCAATTAATTGCTTCTGTTTGTTTAGATATGTGGCCCATGTAAATCATGGAAACAGACACTACACTCACATCATCCTCTCCTTTCCGCCTTCGTCTCTGTCATCTCAAATTACACTCTTTCACTGTTTTGTAACCGACGAAATTAAGGTGAGCCACCACTTTCTGGCGATTAATTTTTTTATGTTTATGATGGCATTCAATCGTAGCATTCAACGACTTCGAAATCCTTTCATCTCCCCTGGCTTCCTCAGTCATTTCAAACACTATATGTATGGAGCTGAAAGGAATGTCACCGCTCATATTTTCTTCTAGATCTCTATTATTATTATTTTTTTGGTAAAAATCTCTATTATCTCTATTATTATTATACTAAGGCATCTCTAAGAAGATTAAGGTGAAAGCGTACCTACTGTTTGTGTTGAACGTTTTCAAGATTTTGATTCAGAAGATGAGAAAGTCACCATTGATAGGTTTCAAAATGGTAGGCTTACTTTACTGTGTTTAAGTTTGTTTTGTGGCTTTGTTACGACTTCTAAATTGATATTGTTATTTGGAAATGGAGAAATCAAACGCCCATGGGCTGAATGATCAAAAGGCTAACCTTGAAGCTGGTGAATCTGAGTCATATGAAGAAGATGAATCTGACTCTTAATTTTTTTTTAATGAGTTGTGATTAGCATTGACTCACTTAATTAGTTGAAAGCTATAATCTTGATGCTGATTTCTGAAATGTGACGCATGTTTTTTTTTAATTTAGTATAGATGGATTCGGATGATGATGATGGTGACACAGAAGAAGAGGAGGAAACACCTCTAAAGGTATTCACCTAAGAATTGGTTCTTTTCACTAATAGCTTTGAAAGTTTGTGACATTTTGATTGATAATGTAAGGAATGAAAAAGGTGAAACCACGGGTAAGAGGCCAAATGGTGGATCAATAAACAACAACAAAAACACTGTGTCAAAGAATCCAAAGTTGCAATTCAGCATAAGCCCTTAGGTAACTTAACATAACTCAAAATAAAGCTATAAAATCTCAAAACTTTGAATACTAACAATTGGATTAATGTTTGGTTATAAACTAACTATGTGCAGGAGGGCATAAATGGTACAAGTGCAATGGAGTACATCCTCCAAAAAGGAAATAGAGAATGAGCCAAGTCATATTGTTTCATAAACTTTTGATAGTTTTTCCTATTGATGAATGGTCTGAGTGGGTGAGGATTTTGGTTCCTAAAATTTTAGATTGTTAAATCATTCAAATCTATGTTATGTTGTAGTTTGCGATGTCAATGGGATTTAATGAAATATTTTTACTTCTCAGGTGAGTAGTAATATTATGCCTTATGCCTTCTGTTTGATAAACTGATCAACAAATATTCAAATTCTTACAGTTACAGACTTACAGTGTGGACAAAAGATAGTGTTGCACGAAACTTCAGTTTTCTTAAAAAAAGTTTGGGTTTTTACTGGATTGGTCTTTTATTTAGTTTTGTTAGTCTTCATCTCAAATACCAGCTTCAAGATCTTATTTCGAAAAATCAAAAGATGTTATCCGATGCTTTAATCAAAATAGATTTCAGCAAACTTAAACACACATTGGAAATATGATAACAATCTGCATCAGAGTAAGGCAAATTTAACGAAGAACAAACAATGAAAAGTGTTTATATTTCCTCAGTTCAAGTAAAACCATCGTCATAGTTTTTCAGGTAACAAGTTAACATTCATTTTTTGGGGTAAAATCATTTATTCATTTGCTTTAAGGAACTGAGTGAAGTAAGCGCCAAGAGAAAATTTTGTTTGGGTGTTCCTCACATTGTTTATTCATGGTAACGCCAATCTCTCTCCTTCTGTCCTTCTCTACCTCAAATCTATGGTTTTGGTTTATATAAGAGAAATGAAGAAGTGACTCATTCTCACACTCTTTCTCTTTGTTTTTATAATTTTAGATTACGATTAATTGGTGTCTTCCTTTTTTCAGTAGAATCTACAATTCATTGATTTAACTAATTAGTTTTGCTTGCATGGGTATGTATAAGAACCAATGAAGCATGCTTTTAGGTTTGTATATATTATTAATGCAATAAGTTCTTCTCTTATTCATTATATTTATGATATAAGTTATATACAATTATCAAATAAGTAATACCATTTAATACCCATTGTTTTCCAAATAAGGACCAAAATTCATACTCCGATACTCGCATGCTTGGTCTTTAGTGTTGAGTATGTAAAAGAGAATGTAGAGAAATAACTTGATAAAATATCTACGAGATCATGTTTTTAAACACTTAGTGAGGCTGGAGTTAGGAGGCTACAATCTTACATGACAATTTATAAGAATACAATGCCTACAATTACATCCCACCACAACAACATTAAAAATTGATGCGACATGTTTCTATTACAAACAAGCTGAACTGTAAGCAGTATGTGTCAGATTTTATTGTAAGAACTAAATTAGATTTTACTGTCAGATTTTATTCTCGAAATGGAACTTCGAGCTAATAATAGTAAAGTTAAAAATCATTGGTTCTTAGAAAAAAAAACAACAAACATAAAACACATATAACATTTCAGAAATCAACATAATTCTAATGTCTATGTAAGATAGATACAAAATAAAAATGGGTTAACATTCAAAACAATCGTAATACCCATATTAGTCAAACTGAAAAATCATAACACCTAATCCACCATAATACCCCAAGCACGACTATTCTATATAGCTATAGATTATCTCAGAACATATTGTTATAGACCTACAAATAAATCAAATCTTTAAATATATTAAAATCATCATTTATATAAAATAAAAAGTAAAATCGCATTTCCTCGCGAAGCGCGGACCGACCACTAGTAACTTTATAAATCTATCAATTTTTAAAATTCATAAACTCTATACAAATTCATCTCCCAATAATCCACCCCTTATTTTTGACTAGTCTTAAAATATAGTATACTTGAAAATATTGATCCTAGACCTAGAGTAATACCATACATACCATGGATCTAAAACCTAACTAGGTGATTTGTGAATCTTCTTGCCATAAAAGATTGTAGGCCGAGATTTTCTTTTCTCTTTTATGGGATTTAGAAGACTCTGTTTCCGTAACAACGCTTCGTGTTTACTCGTCCCTTCCTTATCTAGATCTGGGTGTGATCTGGTGCTTTCCATTGTTAGATACTCATTTAGAGTCCTTTCCTTGTAGGAGATTACTTCAAACGATTTTAATTCCCTTTTGATAGTTGGTTGGGCAGCATAATTATCTCCCGATCTCCATGCTTTGAAGTGGGATTCAAGGGTAGATGCCGAGAATTGGCGAGCTTCTTTGCTCGATTTTGTTGCAGAGTAGACATGAGAACAGCCGTTACGGCTTTGATTTTGAAAAGTGCTGACCGTTACGGCCAGAGATTTGAAAAAAGTGTTCCGGAACATACGTTACCGGGAGAGCCTAGAGAGTGTCTCTAGAGAGCATTTTGAAAACGAGTGAGTCCTAAATTTATGGGAAAATTAGAAAATTGCGACACTTTGAACTTTTATTTGTCCATATAGGACTTCTCATACTTTTGGCAATTTCGGACAT